AGTATCTTCAGTTTTTCGAAAAATATAGGAATATAGGAAAAAAGCTTGAAATATAGTCCATTATAGGAGAAATTTAAAAAATATAGGAAATATAGGAAATATAGTCCTACTACGAAGCCAGGTTAAACGTCGTCAGGCGTATTCATCCTAGACTAGGCTTCCAGACTCGTAGTTGTTGAGATGTATTCAGCATAGACTACATAAACAGCAGTTACATAAGTTCAGCAGGGGCTATAACCAAGGAGCTAAATTTTATAACTATTGTTTACTTCGAAAGGATATCTAAAGAGTGGATTACGAGGATGAAACTTTCTGTGGAATATCACAACAACTACCTCGAATATATGCAGTAGACAGATGGATGGAATGTCGTTCCTCTGAATAGACTATAGCGAGTTCCGGGAACTTTTGGATCACCCATAGTACAAAAAGAAAAAATATTTTTATATTTTTAAATAAAAAGAATTGAAATACCTGAAATCAATAGCACTTAAACCAGTTAATTGATCACATAAAATAAATGCTTGTGATGATGTCATGATAGAATCATCATGATAAATTTTCTAAGAACAATATATGAAGATATTTATTTTATTTTTAAATTATTCATATCGAACAAGATGACAATCAGAAAGACAAAGTTTTAAGAATTCAGAAAGTTTTTTTTCCATTAATGCAAATTTAATCCATGTTCGACCCTGAAAAAAATTCATAAATTATTTATTTTCTCAAAAGAATAAAATATATTTTTCAAATATTCTACATCTAAACAGATTCTTCTTCTGTTGTTTGTTTTTCTTCGAGATAACTAAACAAAGTTTTCGCGGATGATTTTAAAGATTTTTTTTTTTATAAAAACTTTCTTTTTTTAAAATATTACAACATCTAAGCAAAAGATCGGATAGAAGTCATAATCTAATTCAATTGAAATATGTGAAATGAGGGAATTTCTTGCTATAAGATTTAAGAATATTCTCTCCGCAGTGTTTTATTCCCTCCGGAGATCATATTGCCGTTCCGGGTTTGTAAGTCGATCCTTCGGAAGAAAAAAAACTGTCTCTCATGTTTTTCTTTTCGTCTAAGAAATCTTATGTAATCATAAGTATTATTCAATCTTTGTCAACTGAATAATGAA